TAAAAAGCAGATTTACTTGCCTGATCCTCAGTCCTGTCGGCTCCTTCTGGGCTGCTGGATAGGTCCCTTCAGTCTTTTCTCCTCTGGGCTCCAGTGGTCCAAGGACATCATCATGTCTAATGCTTATGTGAGGACACCAAGGGATGTTCCACAGCCAGAGAGGAGGGGGGAGAGAAATAAATGTTGACTGCGACAGTACTGAGGATCAGGTGAGCAAAACAGCATTGAGTCCCCTAGAAAAAAACAAGCATTTAACCCTTAGAGCGCAGAGGTAGCCCCACTGCAAGGGTACGTATTTAAAAATTTTTTTTTTTTTACTTTCTTGGAGTTCCTATTTAAATTCTATTTTTTTACAAGTGCAAGCAGTGTATATACCTGAGTTTGACAAGGTATCGGCCTCCCTAAACCGCTGGACTGAAGTGTGAGAGGAAGCAGTAGGATGGGCAAATGGTCTCAGGACCACTGTGAGCACCTGTAATGAACCTTAATGGAAAAGCAATTTTGATGCTTCTTTTACATTGCTGCTCCTTATTTTCATTATTGTGCTACATGTACAGAATTCTAGACTGTCTGTCTGTCTTTTTATACATTACGGCGTGTGGTGACATCCATGCTAAACTGACAGTGATATAAAAGCAATTATCTACATAATGACTAGATTTTGTAGAGAAAGCAAGGAACGGTATATGTGGCATTTTAGATAATAATATTTAAACCCAAATCAATGATGTTGTATATTGCAGCTTGCCAGCCCTCACAGTGGTAGCTGCATTCCTTTTCTTGTTTTTTTTTTCTTTATTTTTACCTGTTAGTAACACACTTCTTGTCCTGGTGTGACGACGCTCACTCTATCTATAGAGAAGCAGCATGGTCACCCTAGGGCAGGATTAGAGAACCTTCCCCGTTCCGCATCTCCAAAACTTGGTAGAGAGGTGTTCTGCAGTTTAAGGCCTCGTTCACATGAGACGCAGTGCGTCCCGGCCCGATTCTGGCCAGAACGCACTGCATCACATTGCAGCCGGCTCAATATGTTGTGGGGCAGGAAGGCGGAGTGCCGGTCCATTGAAGTGAATGGCACCATAGCCGCGCCCTCCGGCCGCACAGGAACGCAAGGCACATTATGCCTGCATTCCGGTCCAACAAAATACTGCAAGCATAATGTGCCTTGCATTCCCGTGCGTCCGATTGCATTGCGGCTGGAGGGCATGGCTACAGTGTAATTCACTTGAATGGAGCGCCACATTCCCTCCTGCCCCACAACATAGTGAGCCGGCTGCAATGCGATGGAGTGCGCTCTGGTCGGAACGCACTGTCTGGTGTGAACGAGGCCTAAAGGTAACCTGGCAAAGCTGATAACGTTGCATAAACCATAGGACAGCACTGCATTTCTAGGAGGATCAGCAGGTTTTTTTTTTTTTGGTACTTCTGAAACTCATGTAACAAAATGCTCCACAAACTTTAAGTGCAGCCTGCATAGCTGGTAAAGTAATATGGCCACTTGTATTCATTATCACATATGATTTGAAGCCTGAAGAAGTTTTAAAAACACTAAGCCCCATTCGCACTGAGCGACATGAAAATCGCGCTACGTCGCGCGACTTTTTCGTATTGGGCTGTATGCAATCAGGAGCAAAATCACTTGAAATCCGCAGAAAAAAGGGTCATGTAGGAGCGACAAGCTACAGCGATGAGCTACAGGCGATATTGTGAGTGCTCAGTGTGAATGGGGCCTAACATTTATATGATTTTAACATTATGTTAATTAACCTCTTCAGTAGTGGCATCATACACCCCCTTCATTACCAAGCCATTTTTCAGTTTTCAGCACTGTGCACGTTTGGCTGAGAATTCCTCCATTACACAACACATAAGCAGTAAGGGGTTTAAATGATTTGAAACTTTTATGTATTGTTTTTAATGCTACTCCAGCTTGTTTTCACTAGGAAGTAATGAATGGACGACTCATCCATTTATTACTCCCTTTACTCCCCCCCCCCCAAGCAATGTAAACAGGACACAGCTGGTCTGATCAGCTCTGTGTTTATAGCCATAGCTCTCTACTGTCTAATGACAGTGGGAGCAGTGGCTGCAGCATCTGTGCCCGTGTTTAACCAATTGTTCATGGGAGGGCGTATGGGGACGTTCTCCCGGAACAATGGGGCTGCGGAACGGCAGTATGTATACAGTGGCCGGGTCCGCAGGTAATTAAAAAAAACTTTATTATAACATTTTTACTAGAGATTTATAGTTTTTTTTTTTATGTTTTAGGAAACTTTATATTTTGGTATGGTACACAAAGTACTTGGTCACATGTTTAGTTTAAGAATGGCATAACTTCTATTTAGCTGCTAAATTGTTAGAAAAATATTACTAGGTAAAGTTCTTTTGAGTATTCATGTCTATCTTCTACCCCGACTGATCATATGGTTGGAACTTGCTTCCCTGTGGTGTTAAGTTAAAGTATAATGAAACTCTCCTTTTTTTTTGTATACATCTACTGCTAGCAAGCAGTAGGTATATGCAAAAACATTTTAAAAAGTAACCAAAAAGGAAAAAACTTACCTGTGTCTCTGCCGCTCACTGCAGTCTGTAGATCTGACGCTTCATCCATCACGGCCGCTCGAGATGGAGCGTTCGCATGCGCAGTAGACATCTTTTGGGCGGGGAGAAGAGGAGAGACACAGTGTAGGTGAATGTGAATGTATGCAGCCTTGAGTGTGCACGTCGGACAGACACCGTGGGACAGGAAAAGACAGACGTCTGCGGTGGATCACAGACCAACACCAGCGCTGGAGGGATTGCCGAATACAAGTGGAAGGAAGAAGAGGCATAATTTAAGTTAAGTCCTTAAAGCAGCATGTAGGGGGGGGCGACATTTGTGACTTTAATGTCACCCTATTTGGTTTTCTTCAGCAGAGAAAAAGCCGTCCGCTTCTTCCTTGGAAAGTCATTAGTTTTAACATGCTCATTCTGAGGCTAGAGACGTGTCTGCTTTCATCTCTTGCATATATTTCCTGACATTTGTAGGTAATCACCAGATAACCATGAGTGACCTTTCAGCACTGAGCAAATATAAACATAGGGTGCTTGCCAGGTTTGGTGAGCCAATATACAAGATACTCCTATGTGTAAAGGTGTGACTCTGTGGCAACTAAGGATCTTCACCAGAACACCTTTTGGTATAGTGATAATCTTGTCCTTTATTTACATAAAGCAACAGACATCACAAGCCTAGTGAGAAAAGGATCCTGCAAAGCCCTGAAATAGCAGTTGTGATGCCTGTTGCTTTATGTGAATAAAGGACAAGATTATTTATCACTATACCAAGTTGTTCTGGTAAAGATCCTTATTTTCCTATGATTATATGTTGGCACTGTCCATCGATTCACTACATGGACCTGAATGAACTGTGAGCACGTCTGAAAGGTGTGCAACGGATGCAATACAACTTTCGTTCTGATAAGACATCAGAAGGTGACTGGGTGTGCAGCCATGATCCAGCTGGCCAAAACTTTTGTTAATTACATTTCTATTTTCATAAACATGCATACTTGGAAGGCCATACCCATCACTGCCCTTTTGCATGGCCAAGAGATGGCAATTGAATGAAAAACAAACCAAGGACAGCTGCTATTTCTTCTTAAAATGGTTGACCAAGAATGCTTGTAGCAGTTTGCTGGGGCAAGAAAACATGGGGATCCTCCCCTTCTTTAAGCTGATTTAATGGAGAACTATGAGGTGAGTGATTTCCACTCCTCCTCATAGTTAGAGCCGACATGTGACCGCTTCTATAGGTTGGGAAGTGAGCGAACACATACCGTCTCTTGCTCACTTTCCGATCATCTCCCTGCAGATGGCAGTGACTGTCAGTCACCGCTCCCTGCAGGAATTCCTCCCCCTCTCCGATCCTCCAGAGCCGAGTGGAGGAACGGACGGGGGAGGGGGCGGGTACAGTTGGCTCTACCTCTAGATAGGCTCACGCAGCTGGGTGGATTCAGACAGTATATTCGGGATCCATCCCTGCTGCGGCGATCTCAGTATATTGCCCGCGATATACTGAGCTTTGGGTCACGGAAGGAGGGGAAAGCATAGGTTGGTAATCACCAGTATGAAGTTAAGTAGGCCACAGAGCAGGCAGTAAGGGGGTGGTGGACAGTGTTGGCTGCTGTGCACTCTGCAAATATTCTTTTATAGTCCTCTCACCATCTGTATGCTGTGCAATTATACAGAACAATAGGGAAGGGTGAATTAAAACAAGTTTGGGTCTGGGTCCACGGGCTTTTGTTTGCAGCAGACAGGTTTTGCATTCCCATACAAGCATATGGGAATGCAAAAGCTGCTTGAAGGAGGTCAACTGAAAGTCAGATGGACCTGTCAATGACTTCTGAGTGATCTCAGAAGAGTCCCAAACTGATGCCATCGACAGACGCCGAAGCCTATTGACAAAGGCCCTTCATTACATACAGTGTCTTTGGGCACGTAAAATGACACGTGACAGTGTCCCTTTTTACTTTCATTTCAACTTGGTTTGCATGTTCTTTGAATCAGTTGAAAAAAATAAGTAATCTACCTTGTAACTCCAGCTCGAGGACTCACTACTATAGTTAACTTGTACAAGATACATATTTTGTTTGGTTGCATTTAACAATCTTGCACATGTAAGATTAGAAAACAAAATACACACTCCTCATTAGCATGCTTAAGCTGGCAGTGCTGGAGGAGGGCACAGGCATGTCATGGTCTCTGCTCATCCTCCGGAAGAATGGGCACTGACTATAATATTGTATTTAGGGGAACCTCTCATTTGCATTATAGGAGTCCTCCTAGCCTCTGACAAAAAAACAACTTATCAATATGTGTTTCTGCTGTTTAAATATGTAGAAAGGTGTTTTTGTTTGTGTGTGTTGGTGTTCTTTAAGATGCTCTGTAGCTATTGTAGTCTAATAACTGTATTTATATCATTTTCTTTAAAATAGGCTCTGGATGGAGTGCCTGTGATTCCCTAAACGTCTACTTGGAGAACCATTGCTCTACATTGTATGTATCATTTTCTTGCTGCTGATAAGGAAAAGACAGAACAAAGGCATTTGGGGAAGAGTAATATACATTTAGGAGTGAGCTTGGAAGAACTGGGCTTTGAGATGCCTCAGGTGAGTTTAATTTCCTTTTTAAATTGTAGTTGATTTGTGTATGTATGGACAGGTGACCATTGGCCGTGTCACCGCAAATGGGAAATAAGCTGGGGGAGACACATTAAGAAGAACTCTGGGCAAATAAAATCTTAACCCTTGAATTTGGGCTACCCCTACATTGCCTCCTACTTCGTTGCAGCGATTGTATGTCCCTCAGCATCCTCATGCCCTATACACTATATAGGATGTGATGACTCACAGGACCTTAGACCGCCGAAGTGAAGGGGGAGCGAGGCTGAAGGGACTGGTCTAGGAGCAAGCCGGAACCGTGAATTGGGTGAGTACAGGCAGTCCCTGGGTTAAGAACTATTTTATGGAGTGTAGGTTTGTTCTTAAGTTGAATTTGTATGTAAGTTGGAACAGGTAGATTTTTTTATGTGTAACTCCAGCCCCAATTTTTTTTTTTCGTTTTGCATAGCATAGAGAAGGGTTAGCCTCCTGTAAAGTTTGTGTTGCTGTGTGTGCCCCTGTTCAGAAGATTTTCCCTCACTTTCTGTCCCTGTGACACTTTGGATTTTGAAAATGTTGGATTGTCGTGGAAACAAGGATTGGTGCTAAAGCTTCAGTGGAGACACCTTTTTCCCATGATAACTCTTACATTTCCATTCCTAGGGGTAGATTTCCTCTCCCTTCCCGTTCCTCAGTGACAGGAAGTAAGATTAAATCTTTCTAATGAGGATACAGACAGCAGTATAAACCTCAGTGACCCGGAAGAAGAGGCGGGCACCCCTCGTCTGCACGTCTAACAAGAGCCAACTTCCTGTAATGTACTACAAACCAGACCCAAAAAGGCGGGCACTCCTCGACGGCACGAGTGCGGTAGCATTACAACTATTGAAATGCTGCGTGGTACACTTTGTTTGCAGCCTGGTACCCCCTACTGTACAGTAATAGCCTCCGTTTTGTAAGTAGGGGTCGTTTGTAACTCGGGGACTGCCTGTATATCTTTATTTTAGCTCCCTAGGCAAAACTCCCCGCTGTAAGGGGTTAAGATTTTATTTCCCAGGAGTTCTTCTTTAAGGGCTCTTTCACAGCACATGTGGTAGCAGGCACTACCACAACACACATTTTATACATTTACAGTGTGTGCAGACTGAAATAGAAAGGTAACGTACAAAAATGGTTTCTATAGAAACTATGTTATTTGTTTTCTTAAAGTGAAGTTTTTCCATCAAAATCGATTTATCCTCAAAAGTCCCCAGTCCCCTTTGTAAATGTTCTGCATTTTTCCCTTTTGCTTACCTTCCCTATGTATGAAGAAATCTTCTGTGATGATGTCCTCACAGGGGCCGCCTTGGCCTGTAAACCTCTAGATAGTCAATAAGCCACCCTCCAGCACTTCCTCCTAATCCAGGGCACCTTGTTTAACCCTTTCGCTGCCAAGCCCTCCGGAACATTTTTCAAATCAGCTGGCCAAGCCATTTTTGAATTTTCTGCAATTTTTTCCTATTGATTTGATTTTCAACTGCTGCGTTGTTAGCGTTTGTAAAAGACCCCCCAAACCATATATTTTCTGAAAGCGCAGGCCCGGTAGAATAAAAAGATGGTGATACTAAATTTGTAGGCCCTGCGATAATTGCGCAAATGTTTCTCAAATTAATATTAAACCGATAAAAATACACAATTCAATTGTTAAAACACACCAAAATCAGTATCCGTGCACAAAAAAAAATATTTTTTGACTAAATCTAAAAGATAAAACTGTATTGAGTTAATAAATAACAAATATTAGCAAATTTGTAATTGCGCCTTTTTGCGAAAAGGTAAAAAAATGAAGGTA